TTTCAGTAAGTGTAATCCAGGGCGTTGCTCCTCTTTACACCCATTCTAAATTGCATTCTGTAGGTGCTATTTGCTAGATTCTGGGGCTTCTTTATAGTGATCAATATCTTACTCCTCAGATAGTCCATAGTAGGCTATTTTTGGAGTCAGGTACCACCCAGGGTGAGTAAGCATACTAGAATCTCTCCAAAGATAAGTGTTATCATTTTAAAAAACGTTATTATCTCGACAGCCATTGCCACCATTAAGCCATGCACATCTGCTGCCGTGCCAGCTTCCTTCTGTCTGAAGCTGACTTGACCTTGTGTCCCCAGTGGCAGAATGGGTTGCCACAAGGCCAGTTCAGTACCTGCTAACACTCATAGTTGCCTGGGGCTGATCACAAGTTTTGTTAACCCATTACAGGTCACTGCTCTCCTGGCTGGTTTCTGGGACTGTTGGCAGGGTAGGAATTTGTAGCAAGGCTGTGAAATGAGCACATTCAGCTCACATAAGTATCACACTACTTCACCCCAGTTGGCTGTCTCGCTTTATGATATTAGTCACTCCCCGTCCTACCCCTCGCTTCGCTGAGCATTGGTGCTAACGTTGTAGACTTCAGGCTATATGACCCATTCTGTTCCCATTTAAGTAAATGCCATTGGATTAAATAGGTATAAGAGCAGGGCTCATATTGATTATTAGCAAAGAACACTATCTAAACAAGAAGTACTTGTACTAGGGATGTAACAGTGTAGTCGATTAACTGGTAGGCAAAAGCTTATAGGTTAATGCTATAGACTACATGCATTTCCCTCTCCCCCTCTCCCTGCTAGTAAATTTTTTAGAAGGCTGGCCAGCAGCCTAGCTCAATCCTGACTTACGATGGTTCCGGGACCTACCTGTGCTGCATTTAAATTGTATTAGGAGCCTGGTGGGCAGATGGCCCAACTCGGTCCTGTTTCATGCTGGGTCCGGGACCTACCCCAGTTTCAGCTCTGCAGGTTGAGCAGGCAGCCCAGCTCAGTTCTGGCTTGTGTCAGATCTGGCAGCACAGACTACCCCCACCAGACAGGGACTGCTGCCACTCTCTCAGAAGCAGCAGCTCAGGGTGACAGGCAGCTGGTCAGTGAGGGGACCTGGTTTTTAAACTGGCTTCCCTGGGACACCAGCTCCCACCTGGAACCCCGCGCTGCTGCCTATGATACTGTGGCTGCCCCCCCTCCCTCCCAGCCAATAGACTAGTCAAACTGATAAAATTTCATGAGGTTACTCGACTATTGAATTAACCATTATTTGACATTCCTAACTTGTACACTATGCCAGTATGAAGAAGCAGGCTATTATTTTGCTTAAATGACTCCTCCAATTTGTGTTGTGTTTTAATGGGAAATACATCTAATAAATTCATCTAATAAAGAAGCTTCAGTGTAGCACTAACAATATAGCCTCCTTCTTTTGTAAAAATCTAGGAACTTAATTTCATTTCAGATATCCATACTCTTATCTGGTGCTGTTTCTCATTATACTGTATTGGATTTTAAGAGTGTTCAGATTTCATCTCATCCCCAGAATGCACTATCGCTAAATTTGTTGACAGCGCCATAGAAGTTTGGCACGTTTCCTTAAGCTTGTCTGTGATATCTCTTGGCTTCATTGTAGCTTGAGATACCACAAAAAATGTAAAGTATGTTGTTAGCTCTGCTTATAGGCATTATATCAAAATACTTAAGGGTGTGTCTAGACTACATGCCTCCGTCGACGGAGGCATGTAGATTAGCCAGATCGGCAGAGGGAAATGAAGCCGCGATTAAAATAATCGCGGCTTCATTTAAATTTAAATGGCTGCCCCGCTCTGCTGATCAGCTGTTTGTCGGCAGATCGGGGCAGTCTGGACGCGACGTGCCGACAAAGAAGCCTTTCTTGATTTTTCAAGACGGAGGCATGTAGTTTAGACGTACCCTAAGTGAAAAAGAAGTGAACTCATAGGAAACTGACAGGGAAAGAAGGAAACAGTCCACATTTTTATATGACGGGCAGTTTAATTTTACAGGACTGATTACACAGAATAATAAAGAAGAAGCCAAAAACATGATGATTGATTTGAGCATTAATTTGAAATGCAGTGTGCTCATCCTAATGGCAGGATCGCTGATCTCTTTTTTTTTTTTTTTTTTTGCACACAGGGTGGAGGGGTAGGGGGCAGATTCATCAGCTTGAAAACAGTTATCACATTCTCAGTTGAAAGCTGTGACTCTTTCACTCTCAAGTTTATTCCCCCAAAATGTTTCTCTTTATCCGAATACCTTTTCAGGACATCCAAAACACTTTATATAACAGAGGAGAAGGAGGGCAGGCGCATGTTTGTTCAAGGACCCCAGCTCAGATTTTCTTCACAGGAAAATATAGTAATTGCAAACCTTTTCGATACCAAAAAAAAAAAAGCTTTTTAAAAAAAGATGCAAATAACTATCAGATCTGACCTGCATTTATGGATGCTGAATGAATTGCCTGCAACCTTCTGCAAGGCCTGGATTTAGCAAGGTACTTAAGTATACAGGATGTCCTCAACATTCGCAATTTTGGTATCTATGGTTTTGTGTATTTGTGGTGCATTGTGCTGCATAAGCCCAAGCACGACATACTTTTTTAGTGTGCTCTAATAATAGCTTTATAGTATCAGGAAATTTTACTGGGAATATGATATTGTGAGACACAATCATAGATAGAAATAACATGAGAATCATAATTGATCATTATTGTATGTGGTCACTGCCAGAAACGAGAAGTGAGTGGGAAAATGTGGTTGTTTTGTGTTGGGAACACCCCTCCCCAGTGTTCATGGATTTCGCCATTCGTGGTGATCTCAAGAACATATCCCCTACAAATGGGAAGGGTTTCCTATATGTCAATCTTAAGTGTGTGGGTGGAACCATTAAGGTGTTGAATCGGGGCCTAACTTTGCTGTGGGGCATACTTCTCGGAATGAAGCTAAAGGACACATTCAGGAAAATGAACAGCCAGCTTATCAAGTCATCCATTCCTTCTGCTACTTTCAAAGGAAATGGGAGATCAGTTTTGTGTTCAGCCTTTAGACTGGATGAGCCAATGTGTCAGTGCATGCAGTATTTTAACATGTGGGTGTACTGCTCTGCCACACTTTCTGAATCCTCCCAGTTTGTAGGGACACACCAACTTCAGTTTTACTTTGGCAGCTTAATTTCTAAGGCGATAATGTGTGTGTATCTGTGTTTGTCTCTTTTTTTCTTTTTTGTTTAGAGGTCTTTGCTTCCTGACAGAAGGTAGGTCTGAAGAACAGCTTTGGTGGTGCGTTCTTGAGCAGAGCAGGACATGCAGTTTTTAGTGTTCCAGCATAGTCTTCTAGAGCACTTAAAAGGGGAAATTAATATTTCTCCCCTCATTCTGCCCCTCACCCAGTGAACCAGCTCAGTGGGACTGAAGGGGAGAAGTATGGACTCTGTAGTGAGATGGCTCTGGATTGGCTTCAGAACATAAGGCACACTGAAACCAAACCATGAGCACACTGACTAGAGCAAGCAGAAGATACCTAGTTGCTCCAGTAAAGGTGTTTTCTCCCCTTCAGTTCCATCTCTCTTACCGGGGAACAGTCAGACTTAGAGCCAGCTTGGGGTCAAGGAGAGGAGCCATTTAAGGAAGAGAGCACTGTCACTGAAGGCCCTCCCTTCTCTGCAACGGGTTCTTGGTGGCACCATAGGTTGCACTTAGATTAGTAGATAACTCTGTTTCCACATCTTTCCCCGAAAGAGGATCAGGTTCACTGCACATGCTACCCTAATGATCTCTTGGAATATAACTTCAAGACAATCTTTTGGCTTATCCCCTTCTGCATTAGTGAAGGAGGAGGCAGCTCAGGTAAAAAACACTCATCTGTTTGTTGCCCTGCTTGGGACACACTGATATACCTGTCTTTCTTGAGGAAGTGAGGGTGGTTTTGAAAAACAAATTCTGAAATGTACACTTTTAGTGTGTCTGCCTATAAAGTGGCATTAAAAAGACAAGGTAGGTGAGTAATTCCTTTTATTGGATCAACTTTTGTTGGTGAAAGAGGCAAGTTTTAAACTACTTGGAGCTTTTCTTCAGGTTCTGAAATTGGTCCAATTAAAAAAAATCTCACCCACCTTGTCCTGGGATCAACATGGTAGCAATAACACTAAATACTAGAAAGTAGCATTGCCGGCTGCTCCAATACAAAAACAAACACAATTAAAATCTCTATAAATATTGATATGAAGGAATCGTTAGTATAGAGAGGAGGGATGGAGAAGAAGACAAGAAAACCATCCTTTAAAACCAGTTAACAGTTTGTTTGGTGGGTAGTAATTGCATTGAGTTTATCCAGACCAAGTTTAAATGATTAAGTAGTACCCTATTTAGATTGTAAAGAGTCAGGGTTTCGGGGAGTGAGGGTGTTATATAATTCTAACTTCTCTTAATTAAACTGGTGAGGCTATATGGAGAGCTGCTTTCTGCTGAACTACTTTTTATTCATTTTTTGTTCCATTTTCTTTGTAATAAGAACAGTAAATACTATGATTTGATTTTTAAAAATACTCAAATACTGTCGAGTTTCATGTAATTTTTTGTAATCATCTCATTATCCTCAGCTGTCACACTGTACAATAACATATAGAAATAGCCTCCCTCCAGTGAAGAGCAGCATATCTCCTGTCTTCTGTAGCAACAGCACATTTGGAGGAAGGGGTTCCCTTTTTTTTTCAGTGCGTGAAAAATCTGACACACAAGCTGTGCTAAATTAGGGCCCTTTCTATACTGATACCAAGTAGGTATTTAACACAGAATGATGGGGAGCTGACAGACATCTTCTCTATGCTAGAGCAACATGAACTTGCTGTTCTCTAAGCTCTCAACACCCCACCTTGGTTAACCTGCTGCCCTGTTCTCAGTTCTCCCCCCCCCCCTTTAAAGAAATACTTTATGTCCAAAATTATTTCAAAATCTAGGTCATTCCTCTGTTTCAGACTACCCTAGCACATATCATAGCCAGCAACAGCAAGAAGAATGGTACAAGGTTTGTGACTTTATCTGCAACAAGTGCCAAGACAAATGATGTCCGAGATGTTATCAAACAAGCTGAGAATGAAAAAAGACTCTTCAAGAGGAAGACCATCCTCTTTATTGATGAGATTCACCGTTTCAATAAATCTCAGCAGGTACTGTTCCACAAAACTCAGGAGCAAAGTTTTCATCAACTTATTGCTTGCTTAAAATGTACCTTGTGTTGGACAATAAATGTTGCTTCTACCTTTATGTTTTAAAACTGTTTGATATATTCAGAAACTTTAGTGTAGAAAGAAGTGAAAAGTAAAATTAGCTTTCAGTTTTGTATTCTATGGGTTTCAAGAACTGTAATTCAAAACCAAATCTGATTTTGAAGTTTTGCATGCATTGTCACAATTGCCAGAAATTGAATTTCTTTATAGCTATATTCCAATATCACTTCTATATACCTTCCTATTAAGAGGAGCCTTCATTTCAGCAATAACATTACATCCATTTTTAATTAAAGCTTGTCACTGAGAAGCTTGCAGACATCCCTGGTTTGTACATATTTCTTTTCTATTAAGAAAAGAAAGCAAACTGAGACATGAAATGTATTTATGTATAGTATCTTACCACAACCAACGTGGATTTTTCCTTCTTGGGTATGATTTCTTTTATTCGTATTTTTTTGAAACTTTAATTCTGTACCACATCTCCGACACTTCAGATACTCTTAGGAAACAGTTCTACAAAAACTGGTAGGCATCAAACCAATAGAGTTTGATAGAAATGGAATATAGCTCTGTAGAATCATTCTTAAAACATAGTATAGCTGTTTCTAATACATCTTTCTGTAGCTTTTTTGACCTATTCTAGAGATTTTAGTAGAAAATTATTGTTCCTTCCACAGAATTCTAAACATTGTTCAAAAAACTATGGAGAGTATCCTGGTTGGCTGTTAAATTCTATAGGACTTTTCCATAAGGGCAACTTTCCCTGGTATCTATTGCCTGCCAAAGCATAAAACAGAATTACAGTACAAAACACTAATCACTCCATTTTTTAATACAAAACTGTTCTTTTCAGTTTCTCAGTTCTTTCTTGGAGAAAGCACAAGTCATTAAGGTGAACAACTAGTCACACAAATACTGTGTGTGAATGGAATGCATTCATTTTGGCAACTACTATGAGTTGTCTCGTCAGTAAGCTGTAAGGCATATCATCTGGAAGCGTAGAGAATTGCAAGCCATAACAAATGTACTTTAAAATGCCTAATAACCTACTCACTTGGGATAGTTCAGGTTGTCGTTGATTAAGATCTGTTTTTTCTGTTTCCCTCCCATGGTCAGGACACTTTTCTTCCTCACGTTGAGTGTGGGACTGTGACACTGATTGGGGCAACCACCGAAAACCCTTCCTTTCAGGTCAATTCTGCTCTTCTGAGCCGATGTCGAGTTATTGTTCTTGAGAAGCTCTCTGTTGAGGCAATGGAAGTGATTCTGAAGCGGGCTATCAAGTCCTTAGGGATCCGGATGTTGGGCCAAGATAAGCAACACACTGGTTCTGCAAATGGCAGCAACAGCAAGAGCTCTGAGTAAGTACTTTTACGAACTGCCGTGTGTTAACACACACGACCCAAGGAATCTATTGACCGGCTGCCAGAGACAGCTAGGGGTGGGAAAGGAAATCGTAACCACTCCTAATAGTAAAGAAAAAAATAGCAGCATATGTTGGATGCTAGCCGTGAAGAAAGAATACAAAGCATTAGCTACTAGTGGATCCAAAAAAAATAATCCTACTGTCTGAATTGGGACAGAGTTTTATACATGGATTTGTAGCCTGTGACTCACCCACAGGATATGTTAGTCTGTTCTGCATCTGAGGATTTGATTTGGAAGCCTCTAACTGGGTCTCTGTCATACTGTTATGCAGTACTTTTTGTTGTTGATTGTAAAGGCATCATATTACTGTGAAGTGGTAGCACATGTTACTTATCTTGAGCCAAAAAGCTGCTATATTTTGCATAATTTGTTTGACCAAAGTCGGAGAGGGAACCTGTATAGGAAATGCAGTGGCTATGTGCCACACAAGCAAGACTTTATCTCTTCGCTGTTTGAAGTGACTAAAATATTAAAAGTAGTTCCTGTTTCCCTCCTCTAATTGTCCAAATCAATCACATTCAAATAAAGCCATACTACAAGTTTGGTATAGTAACTGAGAAACTAAAATCACAATTCCTTTCCAGCTTAACAGTGGAGATATATTATTATTTTAAGCATTACAGGGATTTTTGAGTGAGCTTGAGGGTGAAAAGATTAGAGAGGAGTATAATGTTTTATTGGAAAACAAATTCTCTGTTTTGCTCCCTCTTTCCCATACTGGAAATTATTTGTAGTTCTCGTCTTAAAATGGGCAGCTAATGAATTCAAAATAGTTTATAGCTGTATTTAATTTTTTTTTTAATTACTCCATTTGTTTCCACACTAGTGCTTAATCTAGGAAATAAGAATCAATGCAGGAACACCACTGTAGATATAGAAAGTGAGAAAGATACAGCCTCAGAAAATGAATTTTGCCTTTATTTCTGTTGTATTACATGGGCAATGTGAATTCCTATATTGTACAGTTTAGGGCAACAAAGGAGGAAATTCTGTTACTTTATTTAGGACACGCATTTGTTGCTTTTATATATTACACTAGGATGTGAATTGTAGCTTGGAGAAGGGAGGGCTGCATGTCAACTTAAATGTAACAGCACAGCTGTGTTTGCGACTGCACCCTGACCAGTTTGGAGACTTTCCTTTGTATATGGGATTAAACTACAAGCATAGTTTCAGTTGCATTTGGCGGGTTGGATTTCACTTGATTTCGTATCTGAAACCTTCCACTAGCTCTGGATGAATTAAGCAACACAGAGTCAAAAGATGCCTGTCTAGCAGAGTATCAGGAATTTTTCCATGAGGGACAGTCCCCCCAACCAGTGACAAAAATGGGGCATCAGCTTTTAAAAAATAAGGATGAAACTCCAACTTTTAAATATTTATTTTTTTAGCTCTTTCCTGGCCTTTCCTGCTTCCTTGTCTGGCTGACAGATGGTGCTCGTATTGGTCCAAAAATATCCTTTTCTATGCATCTTGTCTCTTTTCTCTGCACATCGGGAAAAATAACCCCAACTAAACGTACAGTATGATGGGGGCTAATTTGGCTACGACAAATCAGGAAAGAGATCTTGGAGTTATCGTGGACAGTTCTCTGAAAACTTCCACACAGAGTGCAGCGGCGGTCAAAAAGGCAAATAGGATGCTAGGAATTATTAGGAAAGGGATAGAAAATAAGACCCAGAATATCTTACTGCCCCTGTATAAAACTATGGTAAGCCCACATCTTGAATACTGTGTACAGATGTGGTCTCCTCACCTCAAAAAAGATATTTTGGCCTTGGAAAGGGTTCAGAAAAGGGCAACTAAAATGATTAGGGATTTGGAACGGGTCCCATATGAGGAGAGGCTAAAGAGACTGGGACTTTTCAGTTTAGAAAAGAGGAGACTGAGGGGGGATATGATAGAGGTCTATAAAATCATGAGTGGTGTGGAGAGGGCTGATAAAGAAAAGTTATTTATTAGTTCCCATAATAGAAGAACTAGAGGACACCAAATGAAATTAATGGGTAGCAGGTTTAAAACTAATAAAAGAAAGTTCTTCACACAGCGTGTAGTCAACCTGTGGAACTCCTTGCCAGAGGAGGCTGTGAAGGCTAGGACTATAATAGAGTTTAAAGAGAAGCTAGATAATTTCATGGAGGTTAGGTCCATAAAAGGCTATTAGCCAGGGGATAAAATGGTGTCCTTGGCCTCTGTTTGTCAGAGGCTGGAGAGGGATGGCAGGAGACAAATCGCTTGATCATTGTCTTCAGTCCACCGTCTCTGGGGCATCTGGTGCTGGCCAGTGTCGGCAGACAGGATACTGGGCTATGTCTTTTCTATTGTTTGCTTTTCTTCTGTCCCCCTAAGTCTCTCTTTTCACTTCATGTTCCCTCTTACCTCTCACCCCTGTTACTTTCATCTCATTCTTCCTTGCCATTCTTCTCCATCACCCCCAAAATACATCTAGCAGTAGATGCAGATAGCTGATAGTTCATTATGCTACCCTGGGAGATAAGCACACAAGTTTGGATGCAGTTCCAAGGCCTAAATGTTTTCTGTGATGTTCCTATATAAAATGAAGTTTCCCCCGAAACTGAGGGATGGAGCGGATCTTTAGTTTAAAGCAGAATTTCTGAAAGTGTGGTACATGCCCCCACTGAGCCATGTGATGGACTAGCTAGGGTACACAAAAGATGTATATGTTAAGAGCTTGTCATAGCATAAGAGCAATGTGCCTTGGGTGGCACGTGACCTAGATTTGTCTCCAATTTGATTTGCTGGTTGGATCATTAGCTGCTCTGGCTTGAGCAGATACCAATGGAGACTGCGACGTGAAAGCATAACAGCATGTGCTGGACTTCATCTTGCCCGGGAGCTAAAAGTTCTTGTCCTAGGAAGATAGGTGCCTCTGGCTGCAACAATGGAAGTACCCTCTGGAGCTCCTTGAAGCACGTGCCAATAGGGTTGCCTCCAAATTCCACCTCCATAAAACTACCTCTTTAATGCAATTTTTAAAACCCACTTAAGGCCATAAGTGACCCCTGAAAAATGAAATTGTTGTGATATAGACGAGGGTGGTAATTAAATCTTCTATCAGTCTCATGCTTACATTGGATAGAGTACTTAGTTCTAAAAGACTTACCCGGCATTACCTGGGCCTGGAGGTGAAGTGGAAGATAGCATGGAGGCCTCCTGGCAGCATTCCATGGACCCGGGCTCGGGCGGAGGCAGTGGGGATGGCGTGGAGGCCTCCCGGCAATTGGGGTGCCATTGTGGCACACTGGGTGGGCCCAGCGGTATTGGGGAGCCACCTGTGGGTACGCATCTTCCCCCTCCCGTCCCAGTCCAGCAGTGGGGATGGAGGAGGTGGGGAGTTTGGGGTAGGGAGGCCAATTACTGGGGCTGGTGGCCAGCAAGATGGAGTCCAGCTGGCCCTGGTGTGGCTTCCCTTCCTGGTGTGGCTTCCCTCTCACTCTGCAGTGTAGCTGTCTCGTATGCTTGCTGCCCCTAGTGGTGACTATGCAATATCTAATCCCTCTGATCAGCCCCCTCTCTTTCCATGTTATAGGAAAAAAGTCAAATTCCAGGAACATCCCATTTTCCTGCCACAACCAAACGCTGACCTTGCTTTAAGTTAGGAGAAGAGGAAGCTGCCAAATTTGGTGGTCCTAGCTCTTGCTGTTTAGGAGGAGTTCTTGAACAAATGGACGCGCAGGCAGACAGATTCAGAGATAGACAGACTCTATAAACTTGAGTCAGGAGCCAGACAAATGTGTGGAGGAAAAGTAAGGGATGGAGTGAGAGGAAGTCCATACCAAATATTAGACAAAAGGAAAAACTTTAAAGCACTTTAAAGTTTATAAAGATTTAAAGATTATATTATAATCTGAGGAAGTGGGTCTGGCCCACGAAAGCTCATCACCTATTACACCATCTTGTTCGTCTTTAAAGTGCTACATAGTTTTTCCTTTTGTTTTAGCAAGATCAGACTAACACGGCTACCTCTCTGTTACTATTCAAATATTAGACATGTTACTGAAATGTAAAGAAAGGCTACAAATACTTTCAGTTGTTGGGATCTTACTACAGGTTGAACCTCTCTAATCTGGCATTCTCTGGTCTGCCAGCAACCGTGGTCTGGCATGGTTTTGCCCCTAAATGTCTTCTGAAGGCCCAGTGGAAATGTTTGTAATATTGCTAGAGAATATTGACCATGGGACTTATACAATGTAACATTAATGTCAGGAAATTAATTCACTTTACAAATACGACTTTTTTGTAATCCAGTTTAGTCTACTTAGATCAGTGATACTCAGACTGAGACTCATGAACTGAAAGTGGCTCTTTAGCATATCTCCGGTGGCTCTTTGTGGCATATGATATTAAAACACTATGTGATTGAGTTTCCATAAAATCTCGAGTATAATGTGCACCTATGTATAATGTGCATCTGCCTTTTAAAGGTCAGAATTCTTGAATAAACTAAACTCCTATCTATAACGTGCACCCCCATTATACTCAAGATTTTAGTATGCATAGGAAGAAAGGGGCTTGCACCTGCCTCGGGGTCCCCTGCCCAGCTGAGCTTGCGCACACGCTGAGCTCACGCCTGACGCGGGGTCCCCTTGCCCAGCTGAGCTCATGCACGCTGAGCCTCCCCCACCCAGCTGCCGGCGCGCTGAGCTCGCGCCTGCTGGGGGAGCCTCCCCCATCCAGCTGCCGACTCGCGCCTGCCGGGGCGGGAGGTAGTCACCCCTGCCCAACTGCCGGCGCACCGTGCTTGAGCTTGCTGGGGGCCCCCCTCCCTCCCCAGCTCGTGCCTGCCGAGGGTGAGTTTAAAACTTAAAAAAAAAACTCCTATAGATAATGCGCACCCCGACTTTGATGCTAAAAAAAATGGGAAAAAAGTGTGCATTATACTCGAGATTTGATGGTATTAACCATCAGGATG